CGGGCCAGCCCGCCCCGCCGGCCCATTTTGATATGTCTAGTGCGATGCACGGAGAATTTTGTACATTAATTTTTTTTTAAAACTTTATTTTAATAATATATGGGTCTGTTAACTTGTTTATATTAATACAAAAATATTTTGACATATTTGTTGTCAAACGAAAATTAACAACTATATAATCGACATGGATTTGTAATGAACTTAAGATAAAGCAATAAAGGCTTGTATGAACGGTGAAAGGAGATAGAATTTTTCTGAATATTATTGTATGCGTGTCTCTTGACTCATTGGAGAACTGTTTTCTCCTTTTTTATTTATTTACAACATTTATCTAATATGTAATCATTACACAAGAATAGTCAACGGCGGCTAATTGCCATTCATCTTAATAACGTGCCACTTGGCCAGGTGTAATGATGAGTTGTGCTGAGTTGGCACCGCCTTGTGGTGTCGGTCTAGCGAGTCATAGATATCGGTTCGAGCAGTTATAACCGATATGTCGTATCCGACATGTAGTAACCGACATGTCATAACCGACATGAGATATCGGTCAATCGACGACAATGTCGGTTCTTGATGAATTTTTACCCGACAAGTGATTGTCTTGAAATTGGCGTAAGAACCTTGAGATCTGTAAAGGCATCACCTACTTTATACGACTTCGATCATCCTTCTACTGAACATAATCAAGTGGTCAGCGTCGCCTAATTCGGTTTACTGAAAATGATGTCAACAAGGTGGCCCCCAGCATTAATGGTTGTCTTGAAAGAGACGGGCAGTGATGCTGAAAATTCTCTGATACCCATTTAATCTTTGGCAAGGGAGACATGTCGGTTTTGCGAATGTTTTTCCGATATCCTCACACTTGGTAGAAATAATACTGAGAGTTGAAACGGCGCAATTTATTAAGATTAATTGCAACGTTTACTGATAGGGGTAACGGTCTTTTTTATTAGGCCACGTAACCGTTGGTGATAGGTGTGATTCCCAAGAGTTGTGTCGACTCGCGAATTAAGAACGTTCGACCCACGCGCCCCTATTTCTTTTGGTTTCCAACGGTCGCTACTAAATTTAGGGTTTAGTATAAATAGGAAATCTGCTCTTGAGATTCACTGTACTTTCACCTTTTTCTTGCAATCGATTCCTTTGTTTTCCTTGCGAATCAATCGTCTCTCAATTGTACTCAAAGCATCTCAGATCTGCGAACTACTTCCTGTGGTAAGAATTCCTCTTCTTTGTATTTCGTTTATTTACCCCGACCTCTCTTTCTTTTTCTCGACATCATGAGTGTATCGTGGGCGTCTTCTGGTGACGATGAACTGGATGTGATGATGATCAACATGGTCCACTCCGGGGAGATGGAATTGTTGTCCGAGTATAACCGGTGGGACCCGGTATTTGTCGAACGGTTGAATATTCGGCTAAACGACAGCGAGGGGGACAAAATCGTAGAGAAAAATGCCATTGATGACTCAAGATTCTGGAGGCAACCCATTAGGAGATGGCCGGACCCCGAACTTACATCCCATGGTGAACCGAGTATCCTTACTGATGCCGACGTTGTTATGTTGCGGAGTGAAATCCGAGTCCCTACGTCGGTACATTTGTTTGCTCCATACCCAGGTGAGAGGATTACATGTCCTCCACCCAACTGCGTCGGTGTGTTCGCCGAGAGTCTGAGATCAGGGTTGCGATTCCCTTTGCCGCGCATAATCACTGAATATTTGCGGGACTGGGAGTTTCTGATATGCCAGATCGCTCCAAATTCATGGAAGCGGATTATTGGACTGCTGGTGCTCTTCGCCGAAAAGAATTGGGATTTACCGTCGGCGAAGGATATGAGGAGCATGTTTACATTCCGGAAGAGCCCAGATAGACAAGTGTCGGATCCACTTCTCACTTTTTTCATTGTCGGAAAACCCCAACCAAGAGTCAAGGTTGGCGAGTTAGTAATGGAGGTTCCCGACACATTACACGGCTTCCAAGAGGAATGGTTGTGGGTCGGTGGGGATTGGCAGTGCCCCGACTTCGCTAATGATCTTCTTGCCGATGGGACAAGTATCCCAATGGCTATTAAATCTGGTTATTGTAAGTTGTTCAGCATTTTCTTCATTTCGGTTATTAATATCTTGTTTTTTGTTTCCGCTAACAGGTGGACTTTTGTGACCTTGTAGCAAAACCAACGGGAAAGAGAGAACCCAAGTTCGAAGGGTTACTGTACGATCGGGTGGACAAGTTGTTTGAAGTCTCTCATAATAAACGACGATATCAGCGACTCGTGAAGGATTCCCGATTAGAACTAGCTGGTTTATCTCCCGGGATACTTGATTCTTCATTTCAACCAGGTAATTTTCTCGCTTACTTTGTTTTATCGATCGCATTGATGAAGTCGGTCTAACTTTGAATTTGTTGTAACAGTTTATTATCCACTGCTGGGATACTTCGGTTTTGGAGATCCCGTAGAGGCAGAAGAACATCGGAGGCGTAATCCGAATTTTGATTTGAAGAACAAGGTCGGAAAAAACAAAAACCTTCGATCAACAGAGATGGCCGGGCGCATGAACCTTCTGAAGTCATGGAAGAAGAACCCCCACCGTTCTCAAAGTGCTGTTGGTGAACCATCGTCCACAAGGGTGGAACCGACACCGACGATCGTAAGTGAGCCGTTGGTTACCGACGTCCCACCACTTGAAGTCGCTCCAATTCAACAAGTGATGACGTCGGTAGAGGAGCCTACTGTGGAGACCGACATCACGCGAGAGGTGTCGTAAGAGCCGTTTCTTAACGTGGTCCAACGGCGTAAGAGATCCAGCGTGTCGCATGTAGCCGAGAGGATGAAGAAAAAACCAAACACCGGCACCGGTAAAGATAAGGAGGAGGAAGAACCTGAAATCATCTTGAGGGACTCCTTCTTCAAGATTAATGAGAAGAAGGCGGCGAAGCTGACGTTGCCGGAAGGTGTGTTCGACCCTTGGTTCTCGATGTTCCAAACAGTCGCTGAGCCAAAAGTGACAATTAACCATCGGGTCCCTACTGAGGCGGTGAAGGCGGCGAAAGTTCCGCTGATGTCATGGGACCCAAAGACTCACG